AATTATAGTTTAGTATAATCACACTCTTGAACTTGATTTTGGCTTGATTGGATAACAATCTTGGTGATTTTTAGTGGTTAGTTGATACAGGTCTCCGTGGGTTCGACACTTGACTTATCATTTTATTACTTGTACGACCACGTATACTTGCTTGTGCGTTTGGGAGCAACAGAAACAATGATGTAGGCTCTGCTCTCGCCTATTACAATCCAAAACAAAATGTGCTTCGGATCTGAATGTGTCAAATCTAATTGTTTGTCAAATATTCATGACTTAGGCCAACTTCTGGCAAAGAGAGGTACCACGAATTGTAGGAGAACGCGCTTTCCTAAATACGTGAACTAACTACTCTGTGAGCCTATTACTTGTGCATATACTGAAACTGACTTCTGTTCTTTTTCTTTTTCTTTCTTTTATTTTCTTACTTTTTTATTATTCCCCAAAGAAAAAGTTGGTTTTTGTCGACCCAAAACTGGCGGAACCACCGTACAACTTAAGATTGAAAGGGAAGATGTCTACGATAAATAACCCGACCGAACACGCTCTGGTAATAGCTGATAGCCCTGAGCGATCGTAGAGAAGGATGATACGAGGAATGACGAACATGTGGCCAGGATGGCCCAAGAGATGGAATCTTTGAGGGACGAAGTACAACATATCCGGGAATTAGCACATCTGGCCATGACGACTCTCCCACAAACACCCGCTTTCCTTCTCTAGATTCAATACCCGACCACTTTCCTTCCACAACTCTCCAAGCCAACAATACCCGATTTCAGTCCCTACCACTCAGATTATACCTCCGGTAACCCCTGCAAAACCACCAAACCCTCCCGTACACATTCCTTACGTACCAAATTAGGTTCAAACGCCACAAAACCCACTAGTCACCACCAACACAGTTCACACCCCTCCTCATGACGGAGTCACCTTCACCACTAACCAAAACCAGCACATGCCCGCGGCACATATCGTTACACATGAGCGATATGTTCCTCCCGTATATGCCGTTTCAAAACCCACCTTCACAACGCCTGTCACGACCAAGATACCTTGTGACGTTGACCAATATGCTGAAATTGAAAGGGAAGCTAAGTATAAGGAGGAGGAATCAGTGTCCGAGCAATTACGAGCATTGAGAAAACAAATAAAGAACCTTCAGGTCGCTTAAGGGAGCGAAAGTCTAGACTATAAGGATCTGTGTATCCATCCTAATGTGGATATGCCGGTAGGATACAAGCCTCCAAATTTGATATCTTTGATGGTACAGGTGATCCTCACGCACGTTTTAGAGCCTACTAAGACAAGCTAGTCGGCGTAGGAAGCAACGAGAAGTTAAGAATGAAGCTGTTCATAGGAGCCTGACTGGGGTAGCACTTACTTGGTATAATTGACAAGATCCGCGAAACTGGAGGGCATGGCAGGATATAGCGGAAGATTTCATAAATCTCTTCCGATTCAACACAGAAATTACCCCTGATAGGTTCGCACTGGTAAACTTGCAAAAGAAGTTGTTCGAATCATCCAAGAATACACACGTCGATGGAGATCAGAGGCCGCCAGGGCACAACCTCTGTTAGACGAAAGTTAGCTGACTAAGTATTTCATCAAGGCTTAGGAAGGGATGTACTTTCAGAAATGATGGGCATGATGGGACAGAAATTCCCCGAACTGGTCAAAATAGGAGATTTTCTAGAAAAAGGTATATAGTCTGGCAAGGTACAATCCATGGCCTCATTGCAAGCAGCTAGCAAAACAATCCAATCAGGATCAATAGGTAGCGGAAAGAAGAAAAAGGAAGAGGTATCAGCAATCATTCCCTATTACCAGTTCAATCCACATTATGTAAACACCTCTTACTCACCAAACACCCATTCCCCACACCCACCTGCTTATGCTCCATATACAACACACAACTATATTACATTCCCCAACCTCATTATAATCCGCCTCGAGCCCATACAAATCTAAACCCACCAAGACTATACGCTCTAGTTCAAACTACCAGTCATCAAAACTAACCCACCTATGCACCCCGACCTCGCCCGAATTTTGAAGAGAGAGGTCCCGAATTACACCCCGATTGATGAGCCTTTGTCTCAACTATTTGAAAGACTCAAGAGAGTAGGTTTGATACATACAATAGAAGGAAGGGTTCCTAAGTATCCCTCAAAATACTTTGATGTAACCAAACAATGCTATACCACTCAAATGTACCGGGGCAAGATACCGAGGATTATTTCAGACTAAAAAATAAAATTGAGTCATTGATCAAATATGGAGCCATTCAGTGCACCCCAGCTCCGCCAAATGTGAACCGTAACCTGCTGCCAAATCATCGAAACCAAGGAGCTAATGTGATCACCCTGGATGAAGAATATGACTTGAAAGGAACCATTGTCACAATAGGAAATAGTGAGGCTTCTAGGGTCCCACCTCGAAGGACTCCAATGATCACAATATTGTTAAAACCTACGGTGATGGTCCGGACATACCAGTAACAACCCACCGTTGCTACCAGGGATGAAGAGGATCAGAGATAGAAGACGGTCTCATAGACATATCAATAGAAAAAGAAAGCCAAGATAACAGATTCTGCAGCGGCTCATGGTATGACCAGGTCGGGGAGGTGTTACTCTCCTGAGGATGTAAACTGAGGAAATCTAGGAAGGGAATAGATTCAGAGAAGGAATATAATAGATCCTAAGGCCGCAGAATTCTGGAAGAAGATGTCAACCAAAGAATACTCCGTGGAGGAACAAATGAAGAAAACCCCGGCGCAAATATCAATCATGGATTTACTAATGAATTCTGACCGTCATGAAGATGACCCAATAAAAGTGTTAAGCGGGTTGAGTGTGCCGAGCAATACCACTAACGAGGCACTGGCAACAACCATCGGGAAGATGGTCGAAGCAAATATGATCACTTTTCGAAGAGATGAACTTCCTATAGAAGGCGTGGGTCACAGCAAAGCTTTACACATCACTGTCAAATATGGAGATAAGGTGGTGTCCCGAGTACTTGTTGATGGAGGATCAGGAGTCAAAATCTACTCGCTCTCTACCCTACGAGAGTTGGGTATCCATTTGATAGAAGTAAAGGAAAATCATGTGAGGGTAAGAGCTTTTGACGGGTCACTGGAGAAATTTATTTGGCTCTACAAATTGGACCAGTTGAGTTTACCATACTATTCCAAGTGATAGATATTACATCTTTATACAACCTATTGCTAGAAAGACCTTGGATACACATGGCAGGGGCAGTCCCATCTACCTTACACCGGTGCATGAAGTTTGAATGGGGTTGTCAAGAGATCGTAATCCACGACGAATGGAGCCAATTAGCTTATATAGAACATGCAGTTCCATTCATAGAAGGATTAGACGGGGTCACTTTTCATGCAGTTTAGATCATGGAGACAACGGAAATAGAAGAGACCAAGCAAAATCTGAGAATGCAGTCACCGTATAGATCAAAGATGGCCATGAGAGAAATGATGAAGTACGGATACAAACCAGGAACCAAGTTAGGAGCCCGATCAGACGGGATAATAGAGCCTATTGAGCCGAATAGGCACAAAGATAGAGCGGACATAGGGTATCAGCCTTCGAATGGGAAGACTTGTACCGGTAGCTTCAGGAAGAAAGCTTTTGTGCCAGAGCTTATTTCGATTATGGGTCAGAGCTCAATGCTAGAGGATGACATCGTTGATGGAATGGGAAGATTGTTCGTAACCATGATCGAGGAATGCTGTGATAAAGTTGATGTCAAGACACCAACCATTCGGGATGCCGAACTAGGAGAGGACCTGCGAAATTGGACCGCCGGCCTGTCTTTGGTTCGTTGGGAGTTCTAGTAGTATGAAATTGTAAATCTTTTGAAAAAGAACGCACAATCAATTGAGGCTTGAACCATGTCTGTACTTTTTTATCATTCGCCTCTTTGAATTCTCAGATATTTCTCTTTTGATGAAATAAAAGGAAATACTTTCTTAAAATTATTTCAAATTTATTTATTGCTTCATTTATACTTCGTTTTTCTTTTCAGTAATCAAAACGATAAAAACTCGTGTTCCACGATTATGACATGTAACGAAGCCCTCGAGCAAAGCGATCCAGATTACTAGGAATACGATGAAAGCATGATTCTAGATAATCTCCCACAAGAGATCGAAGAACTGGAAAGCCAGAAAAAGCCTAACCTTGAAGAGACAGAAGTGGTCAACCTGGGAAGCGAAGAAGACGCAAAAGAAACCCGAATCAACATCCATCTAGAAGCAAAGAAGAGTTTCTCGAGCTCCTCCGACAGTACATGGACGTGTTCGCATGGCCGTATGATGACATGCCTGGGTTAAGCACTGACATCTTTTCGCATCGATTGCCTACCTATCCCGCTAGACCTCCAATCAAACAAAAACCCAGAAAATTCTAGCCAGATTTGAGTTTGAGGATAAAAGAATAAGTAACCAAGCAAATAGATACGAACGTAGTAAGGGTCACCAATTATCCCACATGGTTGGAAAATATCGTTGCGGTACCCAAGAAGGATGGGAAGATTAGGATATGTGTGGATTATCCTCATCGACAATTGTGCGAAGCATGAACTTCAGTCATTCGTGGATTGTTTCACCGGGTACCACCAGATCCTGATGCATGAAGAAGATGAGGAAAAGACAACATTCACTACACCTTGGGGAGTTTACTACTACAGAGTCATTCCATTTGGCCTAAAAAATGCTGGAGCTACTTACAAGAGGCCATGACGGCCTTTTCTCACGACATGATTCACAAAGAGATCGAGGTATATGTGGATGACATCATCATCAAGTCCCGAAAGAGTTCAGAATATTTGGACGACTTGAGGATGTTTTTCGAACAATTGCGAAAGAATAGTTTGAAGTTGAACCCTGTAAAATGTGCATCGTAAGCAGAAAAGGGATAGAACTGGATCCTTCAAAGATCAAAGCCATTTAAGAGTTTCCACCGCCTAAGAGTAAGATGGATGTGATGAGTTTCCTGGGTAGGCTGAATTACTTCAGTGTTGGTTCCCTTGCACCAGTGTTGGTTCCTAAGAGTAAGAAGGATGTGATGAGTTTCCAAGAGTGTCAGAAAGCCTTCAATAGAATTAAAGAGTATTTGTCAAATCCACCAGTGTTGGTTCCTCCCGAGCCCCGGAAGCCACTGTTGTTATACTTGTCAGTTTTGGATTGCATTTGGATGTGTGTTGGGACAACACGATGAAATTGGGAGAAAGGAGTGGGCCATCTACTACTTAAGCGAGAAATTCACACCGTGTGAGGCCAAACACACTTTGATATAGCGCACTTACTGTTCTTTGACTTGGATCGCCCAGAAGCTAAGGCATTACATGTTAGCATACACCACGCGTTTAATATCCCGACTTGACCCGCTCAAGTATATCTTCCAGAAGCCGATGCCTACACGAAAGCTAGCCAAATGGTAGAATCTTCTTAGTGAATTTGACATTGTGTACGTAACACAAAAGGCCATCAAAGGACAAGCTTTAGCCGATCACCTCGCAGAGAATCCAATGGACAAGGATTATGAGCCGCTCACTACGTACTTCCCAAACGAGGAGGTGTTGTTCTCCAGTAACGATATTGCAGAGTCATATCCAGGGTGGAGAATGTTCTTCGATGGAGCGGCAAATTTCAAAGGAGTAGGAATTGGGGCAGTCCTAATTTTGGAATCAGGACAACACTACCCAGCATCAACAAAGATAAGGTTCCCTTGCACCAATAATATGACCGAATATGAAGCGCGTATCCTCGGGATCAGGATGGCAGTTGACATGAACATCAAGGAGCTTTTGGTCATAGGGGATTCTGATCTATTAATACATCAAGTTCAAGGAGAATGGACTACCAAGAACGTCAAGATCCTTCCATATATGCACCGTGTAAAGGAGTTATGTAAGAAGTTCACAAAGATCCAGTTCAAGCACATTCCCAAGATCCATAACGAGTTCGCCGATGCTCTTACAACCTTGTCATCCATGATTCAGCATCCAGATAAAAATTACATTGACCATATCGAGATAGGGATCAGAGATCAACATGCATACTATTTTCATGTAGACAAAGAGCCGGATGGTAAGCCATGGTACCACGACATCAAAAGGTTCCTTGAATCAAGAGAATATCCAGAGAATGCTACTAATAGTCAAAAGCGAGCGCTCAGGAGGCTGGAAAATCACTTTTTCCTCAACGGGGAAGTCCTATATAGGAGGACTCCAGACATGGGTCTGTTAAGATGCGTAGATGCCACTAAAGCAACCAGATTGCTAGAAGAAATACATACAGGAACATGCAGACCCTACATGAACGACTTCACCTTAGCCAAAGAGATCTTAAGAGCCGGACACTTTTGGATGACCGTGGAAAGAGATAGTATCCGCTCTGTGGAAAAGTGTCACCAGTGCCAAATCCATAGGGATTTCATCCGGGTTCCGCCTAATAAGTTGAATGTAATGGGTTTGCCTTGGCCGTTCGCCACTTGGGGCATGGACATGATTGGACCTATAGAGCCCGCTACGTCAAATGGGAACCATTTCATCTTGGTAGCCACTGATTACTTCACCAAATGGGTCGAAGCTTCTACATACAAAGTTGTCACGAAGAAAATAATGGAAAATTTTGTCTGTAACAACATAGTCTACCGATTTAGGATACCCGAGCCAATCATCACTGACAATGCAGCTAATCTTAACAATGATCTCATGAGGGAAATTTGCGAGAAGTTCAGAATTATCCACCATAAATCTACAACCTACAGACTATAAATTAATGGAGCAGTTGAAGCAGCCAATAAATACATCAAAAGGATTCTGCGAAAGATAGTGGACAATCACAGGCATTGGCATGAGAAGTTATCCTTTGACTTACTGGGTTATCATACCCACCATGAGGACATCCACTGGGGCAACGCCATACATGTTGGTATATGGCACCGAAGCTGTGATACCCGCAGAAGTCGAGATACCATCTTTAAAAGTCATCCAAGAAGCCAAGTTAGACAATGCAGATGGATACGGGTCAGGCATGAGCAACTCATGGTCATTGACAAGAAGAGAATAGATGAAGTATGCCATGTTCAATTATATCAAAATAGGATGGCAAGTGCATTTAACAAAAGGGTGAAGCCTCGCCAATTCATACCGGGGCAATTGGTCCTAAAGAAAATATTCCCTCACCAAGAAGAAGCCAAAGGAAAGTTCGCACCGAATTAGCAAGGTCCTTACGTGGTCCACCAAGTGCTGTTGGGAGGAGCTCTGATCTTGGCAGAGATGGACGGAAGATTCATCATGAAGCCTATCAACTCATACGCAATCAAGAGATACTACGTTTGAAGATAATAGAGTAAGGATTTTGCTGCAACAGAACTACGCTCGACCTGACTTCCCACGGAGGGATACGTAGGCAACCCGCGTAGGGTTCGATTTCTCTCTCTCCCCTTTCTTTTGTAATAAAAAGTCCAAATATCATTTTATGTGTACTCGGAACTATGCCACGACTTGATTTCCTTGGGAAGGAATATGTAGGCAATCTTAATAGGATTCAATCATTTTTTGTAATGAAACTACGTTCTGGCCTGATTCCATTTGGATACTTAGGCAGTCTGATTCAGACTCGACCACTTCATTATTCAATCTCATCATTTTGCATCTGACGTAATCGAACTACGTTTTGACTTTATTCCATTTGGATACGTAGGCTGCCTAAGTCAGGCTCGGTCATATTCATCATATTTTCGGTATCATTATCTAGGAACTACGTTCAGACTTAATTCTATTTCGGATACGTAGGCAACATGAAAGGGTTCAGTCATAACCCTAGGAAAACCTTTGTAATGCATTAGTTCATATTAGGACGCAATCGCAGCGGCAAGAAGCCACGTCGTCAGGAGCATCATGGAGGATCGATATCAACAGGATATAGTCTTCAAGGAACAACGCTCGTGTTTGAGGAACTTCCAAAACATGTCATAATCTAGAACGACAACATTTGCCATAAATAAAAAAATTTGAAAATGTTTTTTAAAATATATCATATTTCATTCCACCTACCGAAATTTATTGCGTAACCTCATCAAGATCGGGGTAGAGCCAAGACTACGGTCGACACAAACCAGCACTCCACCCTCACCCCCAGCTAAGAATTTTTCTTTGAATGCAGGACCAATAGGACATAAAGAGGCGCCGGAACACTCCGCCACTCTCTAATAACTATCATCTCTCTTTCCTTATATAACTAAAACTAACTCTCGAATCCTTTGCAGGTATTTCAGAACCAGGACGCCGATGCGAACGAGGTATATTATATATAGCAAACCGTCTTCTCAATTGGACAGAGGATGTTGTATATATAGCAAGCAGTTGGCCTTGCCAGTCAAAGCATATTGTATATAGCAAACCGCCAGCTCAGTCAATTGGAGCACCTTGTACAAAATTGAGCCGTTGGCTTCACTAAGTTTCACCTTGTAATAGCAAATCATCAGCTCAATCGATCGGGGTGCCCTGTACAAATCGAGCGTCAGCTTCGCCAATCAAAGCCCTGTATATAGCAAGCTATTCGCTTTGCCAACATGAGTGATCTGCACTGCTACCCCGCAACATCGGAGATCAGAATAAATAGTTGCAAAACATCATCGCCAATGTTCTGCCAATCAACGACCACGACTTAGCCTCGCAGTCAAGAGTATCTCTTGGGCATGATCCTTTTTCTTTATTGTTATCTCGAATGTTTTTACGTTTCGCTCATGCAGCTTACATGCATGACTACATTTTAAGTCAGAAACTCCCATCATGCAGAGATGATGCTTTACGTTTCAGTATGATCACTCCCCATCACGCGGAGATACTTTACATTTCAATGCAACCTCTCCCAACAAGCGGAGATGCACTCTACAAGTCAATCACTCCCATCAGCGGTACTTTACATTTCAATGCAACCTCTCCCAGCAAGCGGAGATGCATTCTACATTACATGTCAACTACTGCCAACACGAGGAGACTTAATGCTCTAATAGCTGCAGAACGGTACACAGCCTGGCTAACAATCGATTCAAATTCAAGTATCCTATCATCGCAATCCCGGATAACGGCTAGCCGGTAGCCAGGAATCATCATTCGTGCATCATTTACATCACATCTTAACATATTCTACATTGTAATATATGGGTATGTGTGTATTTCACTTTTTCAAGAACAGACATCGCAACGTGGAACTCCTTTTAAGCAGCAAAACATGCTACAACGTTATTAGAGACAACAAACTCATTAGCGGTCCAAGGATCCAAGATCAAACTCAAACGATCGGTAGAATTCTAATTCTTCAAATCGAGCCGCAACTCAAAGCTATCATGAGTACCAAATCTTCTATCTTGCAGTATCATAATATGATACTGGGGTAATTCTTGCGAGCATCGCTTCCTCAAAATTCATTCCAGAACTACATGAGGCCTGATCCTCGTTATGCTCGAGGTATGTAAGCAATTCAAAGCCACAATTCGTCCCAGACTCCCCAGAAAAAGCTCTCCTGGAATCTTCCTAATCCTATAACTCATAATCTTCCTTAAGCCACATGCCATTCCGGTAATGCATGCCTAAAGTCGGGACAAAATTGGCTTTGGTTCAATTTCTTTGCCCGAAAACTCTTTCATCGTCTTCGGTCAAAGAAGGCAGCTGTTCATGACCAATTTTGACCCTCTCTTTCAAAATTAATTTATTTATACTTAATAATTTTCAGTGGATGTTTTTAAAAATCTTTTCAATCAATAATACTTATTTTTACAAAATCAATTTAGTATTAGTAATTTTGGAAATTGATAATTTAATGTTATAAATGTAGCATGCTTACTATTTTGGATTATTTAAATAATTTTCATAGACGTCAAGGCTTTATGATTAGCCAAGTCAGGAAAAGGGCAATCCAAGGCGAAGGTAAAGCTGATGTTTCACACTAGGGCTGCTTATCGGGCGGAATGGGCGGTTATTTACTCTTAACGGTTTTGCTTATCGGTTATCGATTTTTAAATGTATTAATCCGCTAGCCACCCGATAAGATATCGGGCGGAATGGCATCGGTTTAGCTCTTATCGGGCGGTTTATCGGCCTAATTCAATCTATATTGCATGCATTAATTGTTTGCTGACAGCCTAGCATACAAATTTAGAATAGACCTTAGAAATATTGATTCTTGTTTATCATGGTGTTTTCTGGTTTCTTGAGTCCATCAGTATTGACTTTAATCTATGATGGTCGATGATTTTCATTTATTGTGGACATTAAAGTAATTAGAGAGGAAAAGAACGGTTTTTGCAGTGCAAAATTCCCAAACAAAAGGACAAGCAAGAAAAATGGAGTTGTCATTTGTACTGTATAGTTATGCCATATCCTTGGAAGTTATGAACTGGGGAGAATTCAAGAATTCAACTATTCAGTCACACGGTATTAAAGACTGTAGTATACGTATTTAGAAATTAGGCGTTAGAGATAGAGTACTGAAAGTAGAACAGTTTTTGATATATATATATATATATATATATATATATATATATATATATATATATATATATATATAACGGGTTAACAGATTATCCGTTAAGAAAATTGAATAATCCGGCCCCAAACCGATAAGCCGCTAATAAAAAAATTCAATCCGTTTCCCGTCCGTTAAACCGTTAACCCGATTCCAATAAGACATTAAGCTTCGGTTTCGATTCGATTTTCGGTTTCGGTTCAGTTTTGAACACCCCTATTTCAGACGGTAAAAAGAAGGGAGGTCGAAGATGCCATAAGTCAAACAGGCGGGTGAGGTGAGAGTCCACATTTTCTTCCTCCAACAGGACGGAGAGCAGCTGGTCCAGTATTGTACGATTTATTTGGAAGTTAGAATCAATAGGGGCTTCACAGACGAGCCACATACAGCGAAACTTGCACGCGTGGTGAATCTGTTCGATATATATGCCTTCACTCGGTGTTGAATCTTCAATGAACGTCCATTAGCACTTCAAATTGATCTTGAGGAAGATCGTCTCATGACGTAGTGAACTGTAAATGTGAAATGATTGGAAGATCTGACCCGTTCTACACTTCATCAAGACGAAAATCATGCCTTGTCTAGTGATAGGAGACTATCTAGCTTGGTCCGGCTCACTAACTCGGCCTAGGGTGTGGGTACCTATTATTCATAACGAATTACTACTTTCTAATTAATTAGATAATTGTACTAATAATTCAGAATTAGTGTTACAATTTAGAAAACAAGATATTTTATAAATAATTAATAGTATATTTGATACTTATAATTTTACTATATTTTATTAAAAATAATTAAGTTTATTTAAATTAATCTCAAAAGGGTCAAAAGGCTATAATTGCAATTCTTAATTAAACATGGATTGGCAATTTTTTAAATTAATTCTAGTCCAATCCGAAATGACCCAACCCAAACAACCCCTTCATTTCAAGTTGGCAATCCTTGACATCACCATTAGACCAATCAGAACCTGCCATGTCACCCGTCTCTCACACTCACAAAACAAACACAACTAATCTGGGTCGTCCATTTCTTAGATCAACGGCCGACGATTTTAACTCTATTTCCTCTTTATTCTTAAACGCCTAGAGATTTAATCGTAACTATTGGATCACAAGGATCCAACGGCCACCAAAATTCCCCATAAAAAAATGTGAAATCCCTAAATATTAGGATTGTTGATCTAAAAGATCAACAGCCCAGATCCCTTCCCCGAACTTTAACCCCGGAGACATCCTAAAAC